GCAACCTGCCGGCAAACGGGCGCCTTCTGCGGCTCCGTGTTTGGCATTTCCCAACACCGCAAGTAGTCAAATAAGCAGAAAACACGTTTTCCCTGCCTTGTGGGCAGGTTTTATCTGAGCAGCCGTGCACAGCCCCCGCAGACTTGCACGCGGCTCACGAGCGAGTGCACCCAGATGCCTTCGGTTCGTTGTTTTGGTAACAACGAACAGGACACTCTTCTCTCACGCTGGCCAAAATCATCCTCCCGAGTTTTCAAAATACAAAAGAAAATATTTTTGTTTTATTTTTCCCAATATTTTATTTATTCAAGTACTATCTTCCCTGTGATTCGATTTATTCTTTTGCGCTTTCAGTGCGGTAAGCGGTTGACATAGCCCTTGGAAACCATCTGGAGCCATTCACAATATTTATGGTATCGCCCAGTATTTTTATTGGACCTCTGAATCACCCCAGAGAATTTCCCTGAAGCCCCAGACTCCCTGGTAAACCGTTTAATTATGTAACTTTGTTCTCCTGGCGACAAGCGTTTACAAACCCTCCTTTCGTAAACAATATAACTGAGTTTAAAATTGCAACGCAGCAAAGCCAGCTCAAGGGAAAGCAATCCTGATCCGGCAGCCGGGGGTGCGGGGGCCCGGGATGCGCCAGGCGTCGAGCGCCCGGAGCACCCCCGCCTGCGCCCCGCGAACCTGAGCCCCGCCGGCTGCCGTGACGGCACTGGGGGTGAGACGGCTGCGACACCCGCGGGACGAATGGAGGTTTATGACCCGTTAGTGAAGGCGGTAGGGAAGGAAAGGAGGAAGCTGTGAAAATGCCCTTATCTTTGCTGACTGGAAGGATGCGCACAGGTTAGCATAAAAGAAAAACGAGAACAGACGAGCCTAATACGAACCAGCGCTCTCAGCTGTAAATCAGCACACTGTAAATGCAGGTGTCCACTGAGCTGGCTTCACCCTACCTAGCTACAACCCTCGCACCCACTCATGTGCTATAATGTTCATCAATAAGTGAATTGAGCTTGGTCCGTTTAGTCTTCTGAATCCCTTCTGGAGGGTGAGTTCTAGTTAGAGAGAACGTGCTCAAGCATGTGACTAGCGTTGCTGAACGCGGTGTCTTCCTTCTTCTAAGGTGGACACCTGTTTCCTCCCATATCTATATTTTCATTTCTGATTTTAAAGTCTCTTTGAGCTGCTCCAGCCCGGCGGTACAGAGTCACATCTTCATTCCTCACTGAGCCGCGCAGAGCACCTTCAGTCCGGGCCGTGCTGCCAAGCGCAGGCTGCCGCTTCAGGCGCTGAGCCCTCCAGCACACACGTCCTTGCGGCTAGTGCCCGGTGTTTGGTTCAGTTCGAAGCAGGATGGTTCCCTCACGCATCCAAAACCAGAAGCCAAGAGCACGACACGGCTCCGAAGGAGACATGGCCCTGCTGAGACACGAGTGCCGAGAGCGCATGGAAAGCATCAGGGCTGGAGAGGAGCAGCAGAGGAGAAGCACGAGCCGCCCGTGTCTGGGAGCGGCCACGGCTCAGCGCCCGGCTCGCTCGGGCGCTGCAGCTCCTCCGAGGGCCGAGATCAGAGCCCAAAGAGCCAAGCTGCTCGCTTCACCCGGCCCAGAGCATGCATTAACTGCAAACCGTACAGTTAGCAAGACAGATGTTACCTACACAACTGCAAAGCAAGACCTTTTTCAAAATTACCCCCGCTGTGCATTGTAAGAGTTTTCCACGGTCCCATGTCGGAGGGCCATAACCCGGAGCCAGACGCAGTGCCGAGGGCAGCTATATTTCGGTACGTCCTAGTGTAATCTTTTCGGCTGCCTTTTGTAAACATGCCATAAAGCTTTGCTGTATTCCCCAGGACCTCACCTCCTTGCCGTCTTTGCTGATAACATTTACTAGCCAGAGAACAGGAAGCCACCAGGAAACGTAAGGGGTGGCTTCATGCTTGCAGATACACGTATGCAGAGTGAGCATGGAGAATTTTCCTTCTCACCCCACAATCATTTGAGAAGCATTCTAGTAAAACATGCAGGAACTGCTCAGATAAAACGTAGGCTATGTGGGCAAGCCATATACTTACCCAGTGATGCTGAGGGCTGTAGCTGCCCTCCGCCAGCATCCGGCGGTCTCTGGCTCCTTGCTTCATGTGGCAGAGGAGTCAAGCGCAGGTGCCACCTCTTCCAGCTCACACCGTTGTGCACCCAAAATGTCTAGGCTTGTGCTCCGGGGAGGAGTTACAAACCAAAGAGAGCCCTTACCTGAATTCGGGAGGCCAGAGATCATGGGCCAGGACATGCTGTACCCCAAACTGCTGTGCTCTCAAAACTTGGAATATAAGGCCAAGATACAGACCTGTAATGTCTTCTGGCCACTGCAAGCCGGCCTCATAGGTAGAGTCTGTGGGAAGAGAGAAGACGGCAAGTCTTTCCTCCCTCTGAGTGTCATGAGAGCTAACCATGATTTCAGATCTATTTAAACTACTTTAATATTAATTACAAACTCTATTGAAAAGCTCCTTCCTGAAACACCATTAGTTTCTGTTGAAAGTCTTCACGTCTGAAGCCATTCTTCACCTACCGTATGATCCCTGTGCAGCTGCGAGTTTATATTAGATACAAGGTTTTAGAAGCGGTATTTTTTACATACTGTATTACCATTGAAACAGAGGGATATGAATAGGAAGCATTTATTTAATCTGTAAAATACATAGATGATTTGAAACACTCTTAATATATACCATGTCTTTGAGAAGAAACAAAACCAAACCTTTTGATCAACTGCTGTCCATATTGCAGAGAAGATATCCTCCAGCCTAAGGCTGAAAGGACACACACCATCCAGTATTGCCAGTCTCAAGCACCCCAAAGCTATGAGCTGCAGCAAAGAAAGAGGTAGCACCGCTGAGCTCCAGAGCAGAGCCATGGCATGTACCCCGTCCCTACATGCCAGAAGAATGAGTCTTCAAATATTTCTCTTAAACTGCCCATTCAGTTAACATGCGGAATGAAAGTTGAAAAGCTCTTTTAAAAATATCACATGCACCCTTCCTTCTTCACCCAACACGTTTACTTTTGTTTGCGTTGGAGGGGTGTGCCGGCACTGCACCCACAGCAGTGATTGTCCACTAGAAAAGAAGAGTTCAAACTCAGTCATGCTGCCCTTTTTTAGGCTTGAAATGATCGATCCTTCCTAGTGGGTATTCTTCGGCTTCCCAGCTGAGCCACCAAAAAACTGTCATAAACTATCAGCCAGCCTCTTGTGGGCTTTCCAAAGGTTTCCAGTCTAGAGGAGTAAAACTCTGTGTCAGGATCGGGTCCGGGGTCAGTGGGGAGAGGTGATTCCTGCCCCCCGCTAAAGTAACATACAGGCAGAGCCTGGGGACAGAGCTGCCATCCCAGCAACACAGGCTGTACCCTGCTGCATCCACATTTTCAGAACAATTACAAGTGTAGCCATGCCCGAGCTCTTTGATGGAACTTTATCAGTCTGTGCAGGCAAATCTAAGCCTGAGTATTTGCGCACACAGCTCCGGACTCAGATGCAGGAGGGCAGCGGGAAGGGCGTTTCGCCCAGCG